CAAGTGCAACGCCCCTGCTGCCCGCACCCGCTGTGTTAGCACAACTGGGTAACCGAGCCACAACGAGCAACCAAACTCGCAGGACTCCGGGTCGAAGGTGTCACCGACCCCACAGGCAGCAGACGGAGGCAAAACAGAGAGTCACCCAGAGACAAAAGGTGAGAGCAACCCTCAAACTCGCTGGAAGCGAGGGGGGGGCTCTGGGGTCACATCCATCGGACCCGCGCGCCCCCAGGGGTTTCCCAGGGTCCCGAGCGTTTACTTTAAGAGGACTCGCGCTCAGGTAGTCCCAGGCAGGGTACTGCTAACCGGCACCCAAAGCTACCAAACAACTTTCTAAGAGCTGAACCCCCGGGACGTGTACACTCACGGGGACCTAGCAGGGGGCACCACCAGAAAATACTCAGAACACAAGGGACACAAGGGGCAAGAACGACGGCAGACCCCCCCACCAGGTAGATAAACAAAAAGAAAAAGAAAACCCCGCAAGAGGACAGCGTACCCAAGCGGAACAGAGCCGGCCGCTATGATTGGTAAAGACAAGCTGCACAGTACCCCGCGCCCCACCAGTGCAAACACTGCCCCTTACTCTAAGGCGAACAAGGGAGACAGAACCCCCGAGCACACAAAGAGCGGCCGAAAACCAAGCAGTAAACGGCCAAGCAGGGGCAGGACCCAAGGAACTTGTGGAAGGTGGCCCCAAGCCCCAAGGGCAGTACTTACAGGGCACCTAGGGAAGGGAACCCTAGGTGCATGCAGCCCGAGTACTGAAGAATCACTCCCGGCTCACGCACCACCTAGAAAACAGACACCACACTCTAGGTACAGTGCTGAAACAACCACTGGAGCCGGAGCACATAACCATTGCCTATAGCATCAGCCGAAGAACTGGTGGGTGGATAGCCGGCGTGGGAGGTCTGGGGCTCCCCCTTCCCCCTCCTGGGGAGGGGGGAGCTGCGCAGACAGCGGCGCGGTGACGTATGACGTCATACTAGTTTCCTTGTTTTCTGTTGAAGAGTTCTATCCACTAGTTCGGCTTAGGTAGCAATTTTCACCAGAATAGGGGTTTGTTTTGGAATGCTTACCTTTCTGGATGCTTGACCCGGTCGATGGCAGACATAGAATGCTTCCAACCACACGGGGGTTTCTATAGGCCATTGCTCCCCTTGCCTCTCTGAGGGGGCCAGGTTCTGGCTCGTGGTCCCCGGTAGGCCCTAGAACTCCATACACATGACTGATGCCAAAGTCTGACATTAGCATATCAGCCGGTAAAGCTCCGGGGAGCCGACGGGGCTCCCCCCAGAAAAAATACAATTTGTTATTATATATCTCACCATGGGTCCCAAGAAAGCCAGTGGTAAGGATAAAGGCCAGAAAGCTCCTGTGAGGATGACAATAGAGGAGAAACAAGAGATCATTCGGAAGCATGAGAACGGTACACGTGTTGTTGAACTTTGTAGGCAGTACAACAAAGCCACATCAACAATATGCACTATACTTAAGAAGAAAAATAAGATCATGGGTGCTAAAGTGGCAAAAGGAGTAAGAACATTAACGGCACAAATACTTGAAGAAGTGGAAAAGTTGTTATTAATTTGGATACACGACAAGGAGTTGAGGGGTGATAGTGTTTCGGAGGCCATTATTTGTGAGAAAGCCAGGGTGTTGCACGAAGACCTTCTAAAGAATACCCCTGCAACGAGTGATGCAGATAAGAAAGAGTTTAAGGCAAGCAGGGGCTGGTTTGAAAAATTTAGAAAGAGAAGTGGTATCCATAGTGTTACAAGGCATGGGGTTATGTGATGTGATTATGGAAGGGGACTCCCCTTCCAAACAGTAACTCCTCTCCTCCTCCCCCCTCCTCACCATCTTCCATACGCCTACAGCACTCGACAGCAAGGTAAGTAATAACTGGAACACAGTTTTGTAGGTTTATTTAGATGAATTAGGTAAATTAGGTATAAAAATTTAGTTTGATGTGGGGTTTTTGGGGTAGTCAGGAACGGATTAATTCATTTCCCTTTATTTCTTATGGGGAAATTAACTTCGGAATGCGAGTTTTCAGAAGGCGAGGTGTCTCCAGGAACGGATTAAACTCTTATTCTGAGGTATGCCTGTAAATCCTTGTGAAGAATTCAGGTGGGATAGTCACTGGACACGAGACACTGGTAAACTGAGGCGCGATTGCCATGCCACCACGCGCCAGTCGGCCTGTACACGTATCAACAAACTGGCGTCCCGAGGTAACCCTCGCCTTCCGAGACATATTTTTGGAGTAAATCCTGCTCGTCTTCCGAAAAACTCGCATACAGGGACACTCGCATTCCGAGGTACCACTGTATTCACAATATACAGACGTTATATATAAGTATCTACATTCGTGTTTACCATAACGAACCACTAAGTTGGCATGCTGAGTGGCAGTGGCAGTCAGTGGCAGCCCACCACTGGCTGCTACTTCCTCCCTCCCTCACCTCACTTGACTCACCCACATTCTCCTCCCACCATACTGTTTTTGCGTTTATTCATTATATACAGACGTTATATATACGTATCTACATGTTTTGTTCACCACAACTGTACAACTAAGTTGATATAGTTAGTTCAGGCACTAAGAGACGTCGCTACACACAGTCAGCTGGCGGCTGCCTCCCTCACACATTCAAGGTCAGACGCCCTAAAATTTCACCCCAACAATACTGTTTGTGGTGTTCTTACCCTATACTGTATACAGACGTTATATATAAGTATCTACATGTTTTGTTCACCATAACTGTTCAACTAAGCCAGTAGTATAATGCCCAAAGAGCATAGTGGCTGCCCCTACCAACATGACAAATCATGCAGATGTTGCCACACCCATCACCAAAATGGCTTCTCCCCCACACTCCTTTTGCTGTTATTACACTGTATATACACGTTATATATAAGTATCTACATTCATGTTCACCATAACGAACCATTAAGTTGGTATGCTGAGTGGCAGTGGCAGTGGCTGCCACTCCCTCCCTTCCTCACCTCACCTGACTCGCCACCATTCTCCTCCCACCATACTGTTTTTGCTTTTATATGCAGACGTTATATATAAGTATCTGCATGTTTTGTTTACCATAGCGAACAACTAAGCTGGTACAGTGAGTCCAGACAGTAAAAGGTGGTCACACAGAGTCAGCAGACAATGCTACCTCCCTCCCCACCATGATTACTCCTCCCACTACAGCGCTAATTATCACAACAACCCTGCTATTATCAGAATCCTGGTCATTTTTATCACAGTCAGGGGTCTTCTGTAATAATATCATCATTAAATAATAGCATGCAAATGTATATTATGACATTCTTAGGCAATGCTGTGGTCACAAGCTGAACAGCAGTGCTGTGAGCTCATGCTGCGTGCGTCAGGCTTGGTAGCTCACTCAATACTGAGGCCCCTCACACCCAGGAATTTGGCCCATGATTTTTATTTTAAATGGCGTCTGTTTACAAGAGCCCTGATGAAGGTGTGGTGAACCCCATGTATCCGCGGCCCGTTTAAATTTTACGTAGTACTCCAAAACATCATATGATGCCGAGCGCAAGTTACTGCAAGTCACTCAACACATATGATGTCTTGCGCAAATAAAGGGTTAATGAAGATAAGTTCCAGCTCATGCGGAAAAATACAAATTTAAATGGAAACTACATACAAAACCCAGTCAAATCATAGCATAGAACGAAAAGGCACTGTAAAGGATTTGGACTCATGTCAGAAGACCTTACCTTTAACCATTAACCACTGGGCTGCTCGGCTTCCAAATACTGCAACCACTCGATTAGTACAGTGGTACCTTGCATAATGATCGCCCCAAAAGGCGAACATTTTGGGTAACGACCGGCCCGATCGGCGACATATCGTCCCATATGGCCGTTTGAGTAACGTCAACACCACATGGTGGGGTCGCGCTGCTTCTTGCACATTCTTGGACACCTCTGACGATGCAAATAAATTGTGTTGTTCTTGTTTAAAGATGCTAATGATGCTGGGATATAAAGGGGTGACTGATGAGATGTTGCAAAGCATTGACGTTTTTGTAGAAAAAAAATGAAATTTCTGAATGTCAAATGTCAAAAAAGTTTGTTCGGTGTTCGGCAGGTAGGCTGCTCCATTATTGAGATGTAAATGAAAAATACAAAACATATGGAACACATTTGAAACAAAGAAAGATTGTTATAATGGAGCTGCCTACCTGTCAAACATTGAACGAATCTTTATGGCATGTGTCCATTTTTCAAATTGTTTCAACTTTTTTTTTTTTTTTCGTTTTTTTTTTATGTAAGAAACATAGAGCAGCCTACTTCCCGACCACCGAACGAACCTTTTGCTATAAGACAAATGAAAAATAAATATTGAACAAATTTGAAGAAAGAAAAATGTCAAAAAGGTTTGTGCAGTGTATGTATGGTAGGCTTCTCCATTATTTAAAACATCAAGTATCATATTGATGTTTTTCGGTGGTAGAACAGATTAATTTGATTTCCATTAATGTCAATGGGGACATTCATTTTGTATGACGTCCATTTCACTTGACGACAACAGCGCCAGAACGGATTAAATTCGTTATTCAAGGCACCACTGTATCGTGTTATACCACAATGCCGCGCCATTAGTGAAATATTTTTTAAAATAACTTTTTTATTTTCATAGTAACTTTTAACATTTTTGGCCAAGACTATGGTTTGTCTGGTAGCAGCATCAATCGTTCTGGAGGTGTTAAGAGGAAGAAGGTTGTCCTAACAATTAAGGACAAGTTACGTGTTATACAACTTTGTGAAAATGGCAGATTGACTTCAAGTGTTGCCAAGGAATTTAATATAGGCACTAGTACTGTTTCTGATACAGTATAAGGAAACAAAGAGAAAATTCTGAAATACATTTCAACCTGTGAAAGTGAAGGTGCAAGCCCTAGCAGAGGGTGTGGTAGAAAAACTATGAAAACTTCGACGCATGTACAGTTGGATGAGGCTGTGTACAAGTGGTTTGCTCAGCACCGCACAGCTGGCGTGACAATTCGCGGCCCAGAAATACAAAATGCTACAAGCAGGTTTGCAGCAAGCCTTGGAATAAGGGATTTTGAAGCCAGTGAAGGGTGGGTCGCAAGGTTCAAAGTTAGACACAATATTGTGAAGAGGAAAATTGACGGTGAAAAATTGAGTGCAAATGAAAGCAGTGAAGAACCATTTAAACAGAAATTAAGAGCATACATTTTGTCAAATAATTTATATTCTTATAAAATTTATAATGCTGATGAAACTGGGCTGTATTGGAGGAGTTTACCAGAAAAAACTCTAGCAATGAGGAGTGAGGGTTGTGTGCCAGGACGTAAGGTCAACAAGGACAGGCTGTCGGCCATGATGTGTGCGAATGGCAACGGCACAGAGAGAATCACGTGTGCCACTGTTGGCAAATCTAAGAAACCAAGAGCCTTGCAACACTGCTTGGACAGACTGCCAATGAAATATTATAACTCACAAAATGCAAAGTTTACACAGGAGATCTTTCTTTCCTGGTTTCATGACATGTTCATGACTGCAGGGAAGTTCGTGCCTATCAAGTTAAGAAACTCAAAGTATGGCCAAGCGAAGTTCAGGCTTTGCTGCTGCTTGATAATGCGCCTGCCCACCCCAAAATTGACACGTTAACCTCACATGATGGCAAGATAACGTGTATGGCACTTCCTCCTAACACAACCTCTCTCATCCAACCTATGGATCAGGGAGCTATCTGTGCCACGAAGAGGTTGTACACCAAAAAGATGCTGAACGAAGTTTTGGTGGTTTTGCCTCTTCTAGAAGATATTGAACTCAGTGTGGATAACCGGGCTAAAAAAAAAAAAAAACTTGAGAATTTGAAGAACTATACAATCAAGGAAGCCATCTATAACTGGGCCAAGGTGTGGAGTGAAGTAAAGGAATCGACTTTGAAAAATTCCTGGAAAAAACTCCTCACGTCTACAGTCAGAAATGAGGAGGATGAAGAAATGGATTTTGAAGGATTTACAGATGAAATCCACGGAATGTTCAGAAATGCCGGGAAAAACTTAGAAAGACAAGATGTGTTTGATTGGCTTGAAAAAGATGCCAATGACCTAGGATATGGTGTGATGAGTGAAGACGAGATTCTCCAGTCTATTACTGATGAGGTCGACGAAGAGGAGGAGGATGAAGAAAGCAGTGAAGAACCAACACCAATGACCACAAAATACAGTGTACTCATGACCTATGTTGACAGATTAATAAATTTTTCATCCAATTGTGCTCATCCAAAAGTTGGAAACATGAATCAGTATCTGAGGCAAACCAAAAAGCTGATCATACAACTGGCCAGTGAACACAGAAGGCAAGCTACACTTGATTCTTATATGGTACGACAATCAAACCAAGCACCTTCAACAAGTGAGGCGTCACAGGCAACCCAAGCGCCTTCAACAAGCGAGGCGTCACAGGCAACCCAAGCGCCTTCAACAAGTGAGGCGTCACAGGCAAGCCAAATGCCTTCAACCAGTGAGGCTTCTGCAACTGGCAGTCAAAACTAACTTTGTTTAATGAACTGTACAGTAATTTTAAGTGTTAATTTTAGTGTTGTGTTAGTATAGGTTACGTAAATTGTCAAGAATTTTTAACTTCAAGATGTGTGGCACCAATCAAGAAGACGAACAACAACAAGGTAAGTTGAGGTTTCTAGTTGAATATTTAATACAGTAATTATATGTGGCAAGGCAATTCAAATTATGTTGTTTGTAGTATAAAAAATAGTTGGAAATGGTTAGTTTTGGACTCAAGAGGTGAAAAAGTACCATTATCTGCAACACGTGATTATCCGGCTGGGGGTTCTTCCCATATAGTTCGGATAATCGAGTGGAGACAGTACGGCACCCCCCAGTGCGCAGGAAATAAATTCTATGGAAAAAATTCTTTGCTTTTTTGAGTGTCAAAAACCCTTCCCTGAGAATGGATGTGTTAACAAAAAGTCGAAATTGTACATGTACTTGCTTACTTTGGCTGCTATGGGGTCCGTAAGTTCGCGGGTGATGTCATTAACACACGGTCGCCCGTGGCGTACGCTCCCGGGGCCAGTAAGACACCCGGCTCAAGATGCGCGAGTTGCCACGAATATATTTTTGTTCATTTTTGGCGAACAGTTCCAAATACATTTTTATTTGTTTTTTTTCGTGCCAATCCTATGTATAATAAACACATACACTATATTATGGCAGTAGAACATCCGTACTGTCCGAAGACACTGTTACGTGCATGACATGTGTACACATATCCTGCATATATTTCCAATGTATCATGCTAATTTATTTATATTTACAATCTATTTACACTACAGTATCACACACTATATACATTCACCATCAACACACACAGAATTCTGCAATTGTGAGCTACCCCACCCAGCCAGCTCTCCCTCACTCCAACACCTAGCTAACTCCTTACACCTTACTTGCCAACATTCCTCCTCCCACCATGCTGTTACTGTTTTTATTACACTATTTACATATGTTATGTATACGTATCTATATGTTTTATTCACCATAACTATGCAAGTATGCTGGTATTATGTCCAAACAGCATAATGACCACCATACACTGCATGAGAAATCACACAGCAGCCAGCAGACGACGCTACGAGTATGAAGCCACCACCCTCACCAAAATGGCTCCTCCCAACATCTGTTGCTGTTATTACACTATATACACACATTGTATATACCCATATACATATATGTTTACCATAGCAAACCATTAAGCTAGTATGGTGTGCAAAACAAGAGTAGTTGCCACACACTGAAAAAAAAAACTATCATGGCTAAATAATACCAGTTATCTACATAAATAAAAATGGAAATGTTCGTTTGTTCAAAATCGCTAATCTCCTAAAGTTCTTCACCAATTGCTTTGAAATTTTCACACAACGTTCCGTTCGCATCCGGCCAGGTTTTTATATACATACTATATAGATGTCATGTCTGTGACGGTAAAAAACCAGCGTTGAATGTAATGAAACGCCATTTTCTGGGTGAGACCCGGAGGCTCCCCGGAGCTTTACCAGACTGATATGCAAATGTCAGACTTTGGCATCAGTCATGTGTATGGAGTTTTAGGACCTACCGGGGACCACGGCCAGAACCTGGCCCCCTCAGAGAGGCAAGGGGAGCAATGGCCTATAGAAACCCCCATGTGGTTGGAAGCATTCTATGTCTGCCATTGACTGGGTCAAGCATCCAGAAAGGTAAGCATTCCAAAACAAACCCCTATTCTGGTGAAAATTGCTACCTAAAGCCGAACTAGTGGATAGAACTCCTTAACAGAAAACAAGCAAACTAGTATGACGTCATACATCACCGCGCCGCTGTCTGCGCAGCTCCCCCCCCCCCCCCCGGGAGGGGGAAGGGGGAGCCCCAGACCTCCCACGCTGGCTATCCACCCATCAGTTCTGAGGTTGGATGTCAAAACATGCAAAAAACCACCGACCGGAGGGAGGGAGGGTTGCCAGGGAGCCCCCAGGTCTCACCCAGAAAATGGCGTTTCATTACATTCAACGCTGGTTTTCTGGGGGGAGCCCCGTCGGCTCCCCGGAGCTAACTACCCACAGAGGAAGGTCAAAGGGACGGAACCGGGAGGCGGACACCACGCGCCCCCATGGAAGCGAGACAACCGGCAGTAAACGCCAACCCAAGGTGCCACAGCCCCGAAAAGTCCCGGGAACAACACGAGAACAATGCGCAGCAAGGCCCCCGTACGAACACCAAAAATCCATGCCCGAAAGACCGCAAGGACACGTCGCCCAGACGGCAGCAAGAGTAGCGAAGCCACGAATGCCACGAGCATGAGGGAAGAACACAGACAGCTTAGCCGCAAGAACACGGCTGACAACCCGGGACACCATCACCTGCGAACCGGGAAGAACAGAACCGGATCAACGCAAAACGCGCTCCAGACACAGACACCGTGGCACGCAAACAATAGCGGAGGGCCGCCACTGAACACAAAACACGACACACCCCCGGCCCGACCAACGAAGCACCAACAAACCCTGGACCCCTCCAGAACGCAGCAGCCCCACCACGCGCCAGAAAAGATGGCGACTGCTGCCACCGAACAACCAAAACGCTAAAACCGAAGGAGCAAGAAAACTCAGCGACCCGACCCCCAGAGGCAAATGCCAAAAGGAAAAAGAGCCGACGAAAAAACACACCGGAACCGAAGGGGCACTACCAACCGAGGAAAGACAGAGCACGCTGACCAGAGACCAGGATGGTGCAAGCAGCGCATGAACAGGCCAGAGGTGAAACGACGCACGAGACAGCTTACTAACGGTGCAGAAGCAACACCAAGACCGAAAGCAAGCCGAAGCGGCTCCGCCAGTGCCGCACGAAAAGAGGCGACAGTATGTGGCAAGATGACGGCCCCGTTTTTGAAAAACCCCCACCAGAAAACCAAGCCGCGGCCCGGTCCTCGAGGCCTCCACCCCCAGAAAGCAGCCCGTGACAGCTGACTAACACCCAGGTACCTATTTACTGCTAGGTAACGGGCATAGGGTGAAAGAAACTCTGCCCATTGTTTCTCGCCGGCACCTGGGATCGAACCCAGGACCACAGGATCACAAGTCCAGCATGCTGTCTGCTCGGCCGACCGGCTCCCCACTGTTGCACATAATAGCAACATGCACGCTATACTGAATATGTCACGAATTCCACTTCAATGTTTCTGATTGCATTGATAAATTTTATTTTCATAGATTTTGATTTATTATATTTTATATTGAATTATTTTGTGTGATATTGATTTGGAATTAAGCTATGTTGTTTACTATACCGTTCATTTTGTAAATATATGTATACCACACCTGAGACAGGTAAAACTACACTTTTTCTTGAAAAACAGCGCCATCTGTTGCATGTAAGAGCAACACACATACTATACTAAATATCTTTAATTCCATTTCAATGTTTCTGATTGCATTGATAAATTGAATTTTCATAGCTTTTGATTTATTTTCATCAAATTTCAGCAGTATAGTAACTTTGGTTGCTCACACATTACGGTGGCTCTCACACCGGAGAATGCGGCCCACGATTTTTTTAAACATGGCGTCTGTTTACAAGAGCCCCGATGAAGCTGATGTGAACTATGGTGAACACAAATGTAGATACTTATATATCCCTTGTAGCCATAGGATATTTGAATCGTGGATGGCACCATACGTGTGTGTATGCCATGTGCATGGTGGGACACATTACTTTCGTCATATATATATATGTCATGCGCAGTTTAAGGGTCAACTACTGCACTACGCAGACCACCTTAACCCTTACACTGCTCAGGGGTCCTTGGGACATTTACACCCCTGTGCGCAAGAAAAAAAAAATTCAAAAATTTTTTTTCGTCTTCTAAACATGTTAATTTGTGTCCCCTGAGCACAGAAAAAATAAAAAAAAATCGTAGGTGACATTTTGGGCGCAATTGACCGAGGAAGTCTGGCAAAAAGTGGGCGTTGACAGAGCGGTCGTCAGACCCAGTCAGCGTCACCCGCGTTGACAGATGGGAGTTGCCACAAAGATATTATTACCTAATTGTTTCAATGTCTCCGATTGATTTTTTCTTAGTTTTTTTGCAGTAATATTATTCAATAG